ATCCAAAATTTAAATGTCGAGGGCGGCGGCGCGTTGATCGCGTGATGATGGGCGTGTCGGGGTGTTGCGGAGGCGGGGGCGGCGACACGTGATGACACGATGATGGAGGCAAGGGCGCGAACTGAAGAGTAGAGGTTAGCAATTAAAGTGTAAACGCCTTGGGTGGAGTGAAAGTTTATAAACTGCATCTGCATAGAAGCAGCCTGTTCGATCCAGGCCTGAGCCATGTCCCACATTTCAAAGTCTGGTCCTCTTTTTTTGTTGTTGTAGGTTCCATCATTCTCAGTTGTAGTGGCACTAGGCTGCGCGTGAGCCATAAATTATATGACATTCGCTTTCACACGGTTCAAGTTCAAGTTGTTTGCTTCACAGCGGATCACGAATGATCCGGACTTGTTCCGGATCTTGCCGACACGAATTCCTGTCCTGCTGCTCGATGCCGAGCTCTCTGCAGCGGTGGACTTCTGGGCAGATAAGGACTAGACTCGAACCAGTACCTATCGATGGTGCGGAAAATCAAAGATAGTCGTTTGATCGGTCGCCGATAGGGACTGGAAGATAATCACGGGTTTTAGTACAGTCGGAAGTTGCCGAAGATTTCTAATGTCTTAGAGAAATTTTGACGATGCTCGAGGACCGACTTCCTTGTTCCACAAATCGTAGGAGACAATTTTGTAGCGCCGGAAATCCTAAGACCTCCTATGTTTCCAGAATTGCGACATCTTGAGAACTGATTCCTCTGTGACCTGATTTTGTTGGCCTCAGGATGCACAGCCACCAGACAGGGGCTCAGCCTCAACTTTCCCTCCTATTGATATAGTGGACTTCAGTAAATCGGAATCTCAATGAATACCCTTGTGATATATCTTAGAATGGGCCCCGATATCCATACAAAGAAAAGGCGGCCAGAACATGCTCAATACTCATTTCTTTGAGGTGACTTGCCTCCTTGACTGCCTATTAGCCCTGTAATCTGTGCCCCTTGGCCTCTAGATGAATTTGAATATTTTATAATTCGTCCTTGAGGTATTTGGAGGGCACTGGGGCTACTTAGAACTGTAATATGTGTGTAGCCCCTAACTGATTGTGTCCGATATAATAGCCATCTACAAAGCTTACTCTCTGTTCAATCAAAATTCTGAAAACACTTGAAGCCTTAGGATTTCCGGCGCTACAAAACTGTCTCCTACGATTTGTGAAACAAGGAAGTCGGTCCTCGAGCATCGTCGAAATTTCTCCAAGACATTAGAAATCTTCGGCAACTTCCGACTGTGCTAAAACCCGTGATTTGATTCCAGTCGCTATTTAGCCGTGCTGTTGATCGATTGTCATCAACTTCACGAGAACGATGAATGTGTAGAGGATTCATCCGCCGGATCCGGCGGATCCGGCGGATCCGGCGGACGGGATCCTTCACGACCTGTAGGTACCTTCACGACTGGACAAATCCTGCACGATATACGAGCACTTGAACGAGATTGATAACCCTTCACGAGAAATTGACAACCTTCACAAGAATTTAAGACCATTCACGGGCTTCGATATCTCCTTCACGACATGTTTATTCGTTCAGGTGTCTATACGTCCTTCATGATCTTCCGCGCACTTCAAGATCTGACCTGACCTTCACGGGGCTGGCTATACTTCAAGGGCCTAGAGAACGTTCAGGATCGCTTCACCGTTCACGTACCCATGCATACATCAAGTGCACATGGATCCCTTCACTTGCAATGGCATCCGTGTTCAACAGTGTTTGTTTGGTCCTGTGTATCATCACGTGCATGTGTCCCTTTCTTCCTCCCTCGAGCCTCGACACCGCCGCCGATGTCGCCGTAACGTCGCCCGCGCCCGCCTCGTTTCGCTTTCTCACGCCGCGTGGTCACGGAGCACAGCGATGGAGTGCATCACCGAGCCCTCAAGTGACTCGGACGCGGCGCAATTTGGTTCCCCGCGCACCTGACGCAGCCGTGCCGAACCAAGGTTAAGGTGGGAGAATCTACATAAACATCTGCCCACACTTAATCCAAGCTCCCTCGACGAAGCCCGAGTTCATTCTCGGTCGCCCTCGACCCTTTTCTACGCGTGTTCCGGGGGCGCAAATTCACATCTACTGCCGTGTCAAACCGAAGTCGCGTGGGCTATTCCGTGAGGTGCGCACCCATTCATTTGTTCTCTCCTCGAAGCCAGACTTCTCTTTACAGATACCTCTCATATATGCCCCTGCGCGCCTGATAGGACTCGATGTGTCGCGCGGACACGCATGTGCATCCCTCTCTCCTCCCTTTACACCCTGGGATCACCAACTATGGCCGGGATTCGCCACGCGAGGCCGGCCGCGTGCGCTCCCTCTAATCGCGTGGTACGGAGGCGGAAGCCAGCTGCCGCGCGCGGGCCAGTTGCCCGCAGGCCAGTTGAGCAGTTCTGCATATGCGGGGCAAGCGGATGTCCGCTGCGTCGTACCCGTAACTCGCGGGCTGCGCATGCATGGCTATCGCGCGCGCGCACAGGCACTTTGTCCCGTCCCCGCGTTGGTGGAAGGCGAGACGCAGTGGTGTGCATATGCGCCGGACGACCCGGCGCCCCGGCGTCAAGCGCGACCTCGGGAGGTGGCTTGCCCGCAACTTGTGCTGGCCGGAGGCGCCTCGTCGACGTTGGAGTACGAGGCGCGGGGAGGACACTGGTCAGGTAACATAGTCTCTCGTAGACTTTGTAGGGCACGTCAAGTGAATTTAACATGTTTGCCGTTGCATTGGATGTATGTAAGCTAACGGTTGAAACAAGCAACGGGCCGAAGTTCGCCGTATAGGATAAGTAAAAAACCGTGTAAGCTCCGATTTATTTGTTATCAAAGGTATTGAACAGTTGTGCCTCGTGAACGGTGTGAGTATGTTCTTCAGATGGAGAATATTAATGCAGGATTCCGTGTATCATGAAGGGTAGCCAACATCGTTCACGTACTCAGCGGTCGTGGAGGACTGTTCCATCTCATGAAGGAGGGTTCACATCGTTCACGTATAGAGCAGTCGTGAAGGCTCGAAGCGTTCTCGTGAAGGGATTTTGTCAACCTTGAAGATATAGTATATGTGTGAAGGGCATGCCTTGAAGCATGGAAAATATCGTTCAGGTGTCTCATTATTCAAGTGAAGGTGAGATAGAGAGCCGTGAAGGTAGAGGGTATATCCTTCACGATGCCATCCGCCGGATCCGCCGGATCCGGCGGATGAATCCTCTACACATCCGATGTTCATAACTTCACGGTCCCCCCATAGCGACTGGTTCGAGTCTAGATAAGGACGGTGATTTTCGCCTTCGTTCCCCGGCTGTCTTTTTTCTTGCGTATTATTTAGCACATTTCGTGTCTCCCTGTGCATGATTCTGGGTGCAATCGTCCGCCGCTCCCACGAGCATCTCATTCTCATCCTTCACTCATCTCAGGATGAGTCTCCGCCCCATCCCGTCCCGCTTGGATCCCCGCATCCCTACCCCTCTTGTCCCCTCTTGCATACTCCCATTTCCACTTCCTCCGCGTCCCAAGGCTTTCCTTGCCACCTCCTCCTCTCTCGCTAACTTACGCTTCTCCCCTCAGGATCAACTCGCTGTCAGCGCGTCTCAGGGTCGCTTACAACCCGGCGTCCGGACGAAGTAGTTGCTTCCTCGTGGTGTCGGAGGGTGGACGGGATGTGTTTACCTCGCGGTGCGGACTCTTTCTTCTACCCCACCTTTGCAAGCGCATTAGTACTCTGTCTAGACACCTCGCCACAGATACGAGCAGGACGCTCAAATATCTCGCCCGCCTTACTCACCCGAAGACTCAGGCGCATCGCAGACGCCCTGGCGTGACGCGCGCGCGCACCCTGGCAAGGGGCGCAGACCGTCGCAGACAAAGAGGCGCTGCTTGCGCGAGCAATTTTCTTTGCTGGCGGGAGTCTCTTGAGTCTCTGCTGGTTCTTCCCGCCTGTGTTCTTTCTTTCTGGCTGGGAGGCTCAACGTCCAGTCCCTGGCGGACCTGCATCCAGCATCCATTCTGTCGTTCACACCTTCCTTTCTGCCGCCCACCCGTTTACCCGTTCGCCCATTCCATTTTTCGGTTCTTCTGATCTTGCGTTGTCCCGTTCCCCCGTTCCACGTTCGCTCATTCCCTCCGTCCGTTCTGTCAATGCCTTGCTGTCGGTTTCCCGTCCTTACGTGCGACTGGCTACACCACGTTCCGTTATCCCTCGCTGCCGTGCTTGCCTGCCCGCCCTTGCTCGTGGTTCTTTCGTGCATTCCTTGTCTGTCGAAGCTACTGACCGCGTCTTTGAAGGCGTGTTCTCATTTGCGGCGTCTTTTAGCGCGTTCTCCGGCAAGGCGAAGTTAATGGACATAAATGACGACCGATATCAGTACGACTTTCGCTGGTCGAAACCGGACGTCTACCTCAAGACGCCTTAACTGTGACGGCTGTATGCGTGAGAGGAATATGCTAAGTGAGAAGGCCAGACGCGGGAACTAATTTATACATACCTCATGAAAATAGGGGCTGAGACATTTTTGCTCCCGCGCCGACCATGTCTTAGGCGGAGGACTTTGGTCTCGTTTGTGACTGGACCGCAAGTTCAGACTGCCGAGAATTTTCCAGAGTCTCGGTCCGACGCGTCGAGTCGAAAGCTTGTTGAACAATAAAGTCACATGATTTGGAATTAGCGGCGAACCCTGGAACTCGGAATCCGCTGTGTCTGCGGCGAAACTCGAAGTCCACCGTGTCGTGGAGGAAAATCCACCGTGTCGTGGGCGAATTCTGTGGCGAAAACAACGGTCGATTAATCTGGTTGTGGTTGAGCAAGGGTTGAGTTGTCCACGTGATCGCGATCCACGCGCTGCCAACTTCTTCGGTGGAACCCTAGTCAAAGAAATTCAAGGAATTTCTTAGATTTCTGGAGCACAACCAACTAAAGTATTTTCGTCTACTAAACACAAATAATTGCGGTACAGAGAAACAGGGCTATCTAAGGGGTATGGAAGGCTCGGTGGTGGATGGTCCACATCTACATTCTATTGGAATTCATGAAGGGTACGGTCAAGCAGAAGGAGCCCATTCGATTCGGGCCTGAGCCATGCACTGTATGGCAGGTTGCAAGGTTGTTTTTTGTTTTGTTTTTGCAAGATAATCTACCACTCTCAGTCGAAGTGGCACCGGGCTGAGCAAGCCCTCCAAATTCCATTACCCTTGTGGGTTGTCGCACGGTTCAAGTTCAGGCCTTTCAAGTTCGGCTTCACGTGGCGGACCGTGAATGATCCGGAGCTGTTCCGAGTCCCGCCGACACCTCCCTGAATACTATACTAGATCTATACGGCCTCGCCCTTAGCCTACAAACCTCGTAGAGCTCCCGCCGCTCGACGCCCAGGTCTTCCCTTTTTGCTGCTAAATCGCCGCCGTCCGACTGCCTTGGCGCGTGCACGGTGCCACCCTTTGTTCCCTGGCTGTTTTTCTTCTTTCTTGTTATTGTACCACTCTTCGCGTCTCACTGTGCATGCATGCTTATTTCATCAACCACCCTCCGCCCTTTCTTATTCGGAGAGCTTGCGCAGGGCGGGTTCGACTCGAACGTACCGCGGTTGGTGTCGGACTCGTCTGCTGGGGAATCGAGGTTGGGAGGCAAGATGGGGAGGCAAATTGGGCGGCGTCGGGGTGGGAAGAGAGGCCGGGGGTGGGATGTGAGCCAAGAGAGGGGAGAAGGAGTACGGTACGGGATGTGCTTACCTCGAGGTGCGTTTTCCCCTCCTTCCCATCCACGACTTTACTCTCAATCTGTCTAGACACGAGACGGACGCAAAATACGAGTCCCCGAAGGCGTCCGTCCGGAAGGCTCAGGCTCTGCGCGCCTCGGGTGTGGCGCGCGCGAGAGGACACGTACTCTGGTAGGAGGCGCAGCGCATCGCAAACTCGCTGCTTGCGGAGGCGGGGGCGTCATATCGTGGACCAGGACGCATCACGGGCGCGGGCGCGATGGCTGTGCGTTGCGGGGGAGGAGGCGCGTCGCGGATGAGGACGCGATACTACGGGACGGCCAGGCGTGCCCGCTGGCTGACGTCCGTCTAGAGTGAGCCGCGCTGACGCCGTTCTGGGACTCAGAATAGGAACGGACGAAAGCTTCAGTACCCGTCCCGCGCCCGAGGCCAGGGTTCCGTGTCGTTGTGGGCGCGCTGACGCTGGCGGACCTCGTCGGGTTTGGGCTCGTCATGAAGTTGGAGATACGGAATGCCAGACACAGCGACGCAGGAACCGAGAGACGCGACCACCGCCGCTTTTTCTCGCGAGGCTGCACGGTGAACGCAATGGCAGCACCTGGCAGCACCACGTGGCTCATCATAATCGCGCTGGTCATGCTCATGTCGCCCGCGTGCGCGCCCCGTGAAGCTTCTGACGAGGTCCCGCCGCCGGAGCGACGACACCTACACCGATGGTATAACTGCGCACAGCGACGGCGTAGCGGAGTAGGTTTCGTCCCGCCCCCTTCCCGTGCTGCCCCAAGCGATGCCGGATCTGCAGGCCAGCGTGTGGACGCCGGATCTGGACGCAAGCGCGCGGATCGCGCTACGTCCTTTTTCTTTTGTCCGCTCGGAGTCTTTTTCTTTTCGCCGCCTCTCTTTGCTAGCAAGACTCTGTTGGTCTGCCTGCCTCTATTTTCCGCTCCTTTCTGGCCGGGAGGTTTAACGCTCCATCCATCTCCGTCTTCGTCTTCGCCTCGGTGTGTGGCGGACCTCCATCTGGCATCTGTTCTGCCGTTCGCATCTGCTGTGCACCGGTTCGCCCCTTCCGTTCTTCCGTTAAACCGTTCGCTCATTCTGTCCTTCCGTGCTCAATCCCTGCTACCGGTTCACATTGCCTCCCGCTCTTTCTCTGCCGATGTGCCATCATCTTTCGGTGCATTCTCCGTCCGAGCGGCCGCCGAACGGGACAGGAGGAGCCGCCCGATGCTCGTACTGACCGCGCGTCTCTGACGTGGACGCGTTCAACTTTGGCTCCCGGTGAAGCAGAAAGAGTGCTTAGACACCAACCGACTTCGTTGGTCGAGGATCAACGTCGGCGCGATGTGCGGCTACGTTATGACGGCAAGCTTGGAGAGGCGTCCGATCTGCGTGACGAGCTCATTCTCCGTTGAATTCACGATTTATTCATTACGTTGCAGTGTACCGAGTAGCAAGAAAAACGCATTCAAATTTGTGTACAGCGACGAGGACGCGCCAGGGTGTGGGTGGGTGGGGGTATGAACGTCCTTCCATTCGCCCGGGCATCTTGAACACCGAGTTTTCTTTCGAGTACTGCAAAAGAAAATTGATGTCAGAGAGAGCAGGACAAGGACTAAAGAAACACACCTCGGCATTCTGCACCACGGACCGACCGCAGGCGCGCCCTATCAGCGCGCCCCGGGAGGGCGGACGCTGGGAGGCAAGGTTCTGTTCATCGCGAGCATCGGCGTAGCGCGGCGCTCGGTGGTAAGCGAGGTTGTGTCCGCGAAGCGGGATACGACAGCTTCTGAACCGGGGCCAGGCGCGGCGGTGTGCGCGGGAGGTGGGCGAGAGATGGTCGCCTTGAGCTGCGACTTCCGCCTCTGCTCGCGGGCGCCGAGTTTGGGATGCGCGCTTTGGGCGGCGGAGCGCTCCTTAAAAATCTGCGAATGAAAACAAGTTAGATGGGAGGAAGGAGAAGGGAACTGCAACGGACATTTTTGGAGGAGGGCAGCTTTCCAGCTGAGCTCTTATACGCCCAGTACATCATCCCCAAAACACCGAACCCGAAGAGGACCAGAACAGCGACTGGGATCCAGTTCGGGATATGCGGGGCCAGCGCAGAGGCGGATGGGTCGCTGCTCGAGGACGTCGGCGTCGGAACGGTGCTCGCGGTGGGCGTTGAGCTTGTGGCGTCGACGGCGCGGTCGGAGGGAAGGTAACGAAGGGGAGACATTGTTAGGTAGAATTTTGGGGTGTGTAATTTGAGGGAATATGCGAAGAGGGAAGGGCGAGGAGCGGGAGCTTAAATACCTCCGATAAATAGGGGCTGAGACCCCCGCGCCAGCCATGTCTCAGGCGGAAGTATTTGGTCCAGACTGTGGCTGGGCCGTTCTAGATGCAGTTTTCGGCTGCCTGGGATTTTTAAGAGTCCCCAGTCCGAGCTCGAGGCGAGTTCAAACTTGAACTCGGAATTCAGCGGAAGTTGAACGACGGTTCAAATCTGCACGTGATCGCGGTCCGGCGCGTTCGTCCAAACCTTCGGTGCAAGCCTCGAAGAACAGGCACAGAAGAGGAGGTCGGTCGCTTCACGAACGACTCAACTTGATTTCGCACGACAGATGTAAGGGTCAGACCCCAATTGATGATCCTTGCAGAAAACATCGGTCAAGACAACAGAAGTCCACCAAGTAACAAAGACCTTCGAAAATTGTGAATCCGGCGGTGGGTAGGTAGGTAGGTAATATCACACGGCCTTTCCCGCTTAAATGCCGGCTCCAAGGAGGAATAATTGATTCCAAATGACACGCGAAGCAACGCCGCCCGCTCCCGCCCTCGTCGCCGCCTATACGGCTCTCCTCACCGCATTCCTCATCTTCGCCATAGCCGTGAGACGTGATGTACCCGAATTACTAGCTTTTGGCTGGCTCCGTTTGAACAATCTCTATGAGCCAACTCGGTGCGGAGAACGAGTCTCGAGGGGGGGCAAATGCTGCATGAAGGCTGCGTGATTGTCCGAATGTAACTAGACTCATGAGTTGGGTCATTTGTGTTGGAGATCGCTCTGAAGGAGAAGGAAACAGTATGAATATATGTCATGGGTCAAAATATTGGGGCAATGAGCTCATCTTAAACCGATCTAGGCCAGGAGGCAGTAGACGGCGGTGGGAAAAATGAACAAGAAATAGGAATCTCCACTGTCCAGTATCAAGGGAGCAGAGGACGGGTCTCTGAATAAACAAATAGCCACTGATTAAACCTGCCAATAAACGATTCAGAGAACTGAAGGCGGCGATGGTGCATTAGTGGCAGTGCATTAAATTGTTCCGCATGCCCATATCTAGAAAATCACCGATGATTGATGGCATCGAGTTTTACCACCTATAGGCTATCGACTCAATCGACTCCCAGACTTCCTCGTGGGGATGTTCCGTTGCCATCCGCGCGTGGGAGGCCCTGAACAACGTTGACGACCTTTGACCTTTGACGGCCCTGAGCTTTGCGGAAATTCAAAAAGGTTGGAAGGAGCATGAAAGTTGATCCACAGTCATCAATAGCGTGACAAGATCACCTCTATCAACTCTCGGAGGTGGAATAAAAAGTACAGCCCTGTCGGGGGTGCCCACAATATTTTCGTAATGCCAGGGCTTGGCAATGCAGGTTTGAGGTCACTGATGATGACTATGGGCGCGGCAGCAATTGCAGTTCCTGCGGATCTCGCCTCCGTTGATGCCTGATGCATTGTCTCCCCAGCATCTGATCTTTGATATTCCTTACAAGTATGTAATCAAGGCTCGCTCAATGCTTGGATCCTCTGTGTGCCAGAAAAAGAAAAAGAAAACTGGTGTAATACTCCCCTTCCGGCCTCGGCCTCTCCTTTATCTGCTATCCCAAACCAACGACTATGTGCGCATTCGGATCAAGCGGAACCGGATCATACAAGAGCAATCGGGAATCCAAAACAGTTGAAAGTTGAAACAACAGGGTGTTTTAGGGTGTTTTAAGGAACCTCACCGCGATGCCGGCACCTCACCGTGATGCCGGCACGCAACGCGTATAAAACATCGTCGTGGTGGCCATTCGTCCCATACCCTTTCACCATGCAGTTCATCGCCGTCCTCCTCGCAGCCGCCAGCGTTGCATTCGCCCAGACCGTTCCGACTGTTTCCTCCTACAGCGCGGCTGGTTGCTCCGGCACGCCGCTCGCCACCTGGTCTGGTGTGCCCGAAAATGCATTCTGTCAGGCAACGCCGGGCGCCCTCGCCCTCAGCGTCACTCCCGGAACGTCGACCAGATGCGAAATAGACCTGTACACCACATGTGAGAGCATATTCCAGTCGTACTTGAGGATTGCACTGATCCACCCCAGCCAACTGCAACGGTGT